GTTCCCAAGCTTCCATTACTGTGATTGTTTTCAATGATTTTTACGTGCTTTATGTGACAAATTTTTTGTATGATAACAATTTTTGTAATTTGGAAATTGAGCATAATCAAAATTAATTGTGAAATCCAGGGAAAGTCACTCACAAAATAAAAATAATTGTTTGTACAGAAACTAAGGACCTATGTACATCAAATTGTTTTTAAATTAGGTGGTGGCAGGAGAATTATCATTGAACTTCTAAGAGGTAACCTTAAGTGTTAATACAATACTTAAATGCAACAATCAATTTTGAGTTTATCTGTAATTTATTGTTGCCTATTGCATCTACTCCTGCCTACTGTGATGAAGGCCCAATAAAGAGTTCTCTGCAGGAGCTAGCTGATACAGCAGCTTTTAAGCTAGTATATATATATATATATATATATATATATATATATATATATAAAATCTTCATTACTATAATCATTATTTTTATTAGGTACATATATGTGGAAAAAAATAAAAGGATAGTAAATCTCAAATAATCACTAAAGATTACATTTATAGTAATAAATTATTAATGTTGAAAATCAACAGGAGTGTCCATATATACAGTGTATGGACACTCCTGTTGATTTTGATGTATGAGGATGTAGCAGCTCAGTTCTTCGAACCAAAAAATCAAACTACTGCACAAATTTTTTTTTGTATGCATTTACCCCAAGCAAGGTAGGAGTGTCCAAGGATTTACAGAGAGTGAAAGTAAGAGAAAAGACTGGGTATGGGTGGGGATTGAGGAAGGGATAAAAAACAAAAAGAACAGGGATCAAGGCATCAGAAGATGGTGATTGATGTTACCTTTAAATTTTTGAAGATTATAGTTGTCATTGAAGCAAGTAAGAGGAAGGAAGTTCCACTGTCAGGAACTGTGAGTTAAGAAGCTGTTGTCGTAGAAGAGGCAATTACATAAAGGGTGGACTGAGATGCCAACCATTCATGCAGTCAGGACATCTGTGAAAATAGCTTGTCAGAGCATTTGCCATGAAAATATTTGTAGAAAAGACAGAGAAAGGCCACATCACGTCTGTGAGAAAGTGACTGCAGTCAAGAACTTTGAGATGAATAGCAGGGGCACCAGACCATATATGGCAACAGTATTCAATGCATGGATGAATGTTGGATTTGTAGATGTGAAGAATTGACTCAGATGAGGAAAACCTTCTGACACAACACAGAGAACCAATTTTCTTTGTGGTACAAATGGTGAAGGTGTGTGTAGAACCAAACACACATTTAGAAGAACTGAATACAGAGAACTTGTGCACATAATGTACCACAAAATCTCCAAATGATCCTCCTCAGGTTTTGAATCCAGAGATCTCTTCTAATCTGGTTACCAATCAAGGCTAAAGAGCCCAGACTTCCCTACTATTTAATGATGGATTCATAGTTTTAGATATATATATATATATATATATATATATATAGTGTGAGAAATGTGACTTGACTGAAATAGGGTAAATATTTTTCACCTCTTTTATACTTGTTTTTCTAATGTGCAATATATATATATATATATATATATAAGAGAGATAGTAGTTTGTGCATTTCTTGTATATAAACAGATTTCTTTTTGGGACTTGTAAATAGATTAGTTGAAAACAGTCTGAACGAGCAATTATTTGAGTAATTTCTAGACACAATGTCCAAAAAGAAATCTATTGTTCATACACAAGAAGAACTGAAAAAAACTTACAGAATTACCTTGTCAGTCATTTTTAATGAAATATTTATTTGAAATGGATTGCTGCCCAAAGACACAACTATATAGTTTGATATGAATAGTCATAGAAATTATCATTGAATAATAGTCACACTTTAAACAGTCATCGTACTATGTTTCTGAAGATTACTTAAAGCATGGAACTTGTAGTCACTATGTAATGTATGTATAACAAGGCCAGCCCAGCTCACTTCTGAGTTGTTGGCACCTGGTCAGTACTGCCATTGGTCAACTGATAGTTATCTTCTTTCCACTTTGTTCCTTCATCTGCTTCTGTCCCATGTTGTGTTCCTTGATCACAGAGCAGTGAAAATTGAATCATTCTGTTTATATGTATTTCACCCAACTCCCACCACATCTCAGAATAATCAATATTCATATCAGTTAATTATTTTCTCCAATTTTGGAGAAATGACACTGACCTTCAAACAAAGTGCTCAGTTATTCAAAACAATACATTCTTCGACAATAAACTTTGTTTCATTCTTTTCTATATTCTGACAACTATTGGCCCATGATTGGTTACTTATTCAAAACAATTTTTCCGGTAACAAACTTTGTGTTTTTAAATTATTTCTGTGTCCTTGATGTCAAAGAATTTCCTTTGTTGTCAGTTTTCTAATATGACTCATATAATTTTTTGTCCATTTTGCATGTTTACAAAACAACACTCCACATTATTTACATTATCAGTTTTGGGAATCATAACAATTCCAGTGCCTCTTGGCTGAGAAACAATCCATATTCCATATTTCTCAAATCATATTTTGGACCTAACATTCCATTCTGCATTTCTGTTTATGAGAAAGGAGAAAAAAAACAACTTCTCTTGTTTTCTTTGCTCCATACTAGTTTCATACCACCAGTGTCACAATAGTGTCATATTCCTTTCAGCTACTACTAGTAACACTTTATAGTGTCTCACATGTAACAAGTATCAGGGAGCATTGGATCACTATCAAGAGAAAATGGTTCAGTATATTTGTAGATATTTGGGAACTGATTCTATGTCCAGATGCTGCATTTTGAAGACCTAGGGATACTTAAGAGCTACATGATATTTAACTTAACCCATGACTTGTGGGATATACATATACATACCTCTGAAGGTTTGTATATAATTATACTTGTGTGCACATGTATAACTGTTTATGAGTGTGTATGCCTACACACACGCATATTTTATAGATAAATTGAAATTAAATAACTCAATGTCACTCAGGGGATTTTAATGAAAAGAAAATAGCAACTCTAAAATTTTTAAGAAAAAAACTTAAACATGTATACTATTGGGATTTATTATTATTCGTTGAAAAAAGAAACCATATTAAAATCTTCATAAATACTAGATTTATATTGAGAATTAAATTAAAATCTAAAATGGTGAGGTATTAATCCTAGTTTTGGCCTATTTGCTGGATAATCTCCCTCCGCTTAAAAAACCCCCCCCACACACACACACATATATATATATATATATATATATATATATATATATATATATATATATATATTAAAGAAAAACAAAAAATGGTGATGGAACCAACATACAACTTGCCAAAACCTAAAACTCTTATCCAGATAGTCTCAAATAAAAATGACAATACTGAAAAAAGGCCTAAAAGCAAACTTACCTACTCAGTGCTTGAAGGTTAGATTGCCTAACCCAAGCAAAAAATGCTTACCAACATTAAATCCTATAAAAGGATGGCTCTAGTCATAACCTGAGTTTTACATGATCTTCAGATGACTTGTATACATACATATACACACATTCACAATATTTGAATACCTCTTTGGGGCCTTCAAGAAAAATGAATGATCGCAGAAAATTTATTTTATAAACAATATAATAGATTCAAATATTATGAAACACTGTGTTGACTATTGACATTCAATAAGCATTGAATGTTTTTGCATATATATATATATATATATATATATATGCGCACACACACACACACACACACACACACATATATATGTAAGCACTCCTCTATTAGATCATCATTGAGGAGGAATATTACATTTTACTAGTACCACCACTGGAAACAAGTTTAAACATAACATTACAAATATAATTAATTTTAGTATACTTAATTTAATTTAGGTGCTTTTTTTATTACAACTTTACTCAGTGTGACAATCTACAGTAGTGAGTAGCTGGCACAGGATTGGAAATAAAAGATAAGCTCTTAGTGGGATTTGAACACACATTTATTTTACCTCATGTAACGTTGTTGAATGCCAAGCTGCTTTAGCTGCTAATCTATGACAAGTTGAAATCTTTGTAGAAGATTAATACCCTGTGTTAACTATTCACTGCTGTTGTGGATTGACAGCCTGATAAATCTGTAAAAAGAGCAACTATAAAATGAAGATGATAATAGATATTCAGTTATTATTTATGATCAGTCATGATATAAAAATGTCTGGTTAGCAAAAATAACACAGGTAAAGATTAATATTTACTAGTACAACTTGGAATGGTCATATAAGTTACATTGGTAAGCTTTGGAGGTAATATCTCTTTTCCCCTTTTTATGAAAGAGTTTGGGTTCCTTTAGATAGGATGCAGTAACAAGAAAACTGCCAAACCTTCAAAATGAATAGTTCAAAGCCACTGATCAGTCAGTTTCTTTTCTCACACTTCTCACTTGTGGAACTCTTTCAGCCAGTCAATTTAAATTTTTGAAAATCAATGTCATTTCTTATTTTTTGTCTCCTTAATTCCTGCTTTTTTTATTGTCTTTTTGTCTTATTCTTTCATACTGAGTAACACCTTACATCTTAGTGGCTTTATTGTCTTACTTGGGATAAAGTGAATAAAAAAAAATGATGTCCTTATTCTCTCTACTGCAATGTAACTTTTAGTGTATTTGTAAGCTTCTAGTTTTTTTTGTTGTTTTTTTAAGTATTTCTCATTCATATCCTAAATAACTTTAAAATGCTGGTATAATCACTTAGTCTTTCTTCATAAAACAAGGGAGTGCTGAAAAATTTTGGGTATCACCAAGAAGGCTTTAATAAAATTCTCATGTTTGATCTTATTTAACAAAATGTGTCAGACTGAGAACTTTTCAGTACTTTCTTTTATATTCTATAGCTTTATTTAAATTTCTGTGAACAAATTAATCTTTTACATGTTATCTCTTCAAATCACACATATTTACTATTCATTATTCATGATAATATAGCAGCAGAAAAGAAATCTCTTAAAATTAAATACATTACTTACCTTGTATATCAATGCATACTGCTGCTTTGTTTGGACTGCCCGTGGCCTTTCAAGTCTCATTCTGTACACACAGTTGAGTATATCCACTGTGTGTGACTTGTCAAACATTTTGATACCAGAATCAATGGCTACAAATGTACCTGTCCGGCCTGTACCAGAACTGTAAATAAGCCAAATTTACTTTAAGACTTTTCCAAAAAAAAATTAAACCCAATTGAAATGTTAAAAATTCATTTACAAATCTAAACATATAAACAGAACTAGAATAATAAGTTAAGGATAAAAATTATTTGAATTCTTAGATGAAGTATTTTTATTTTTGGCTGATCTTTTTCTCATGATCAGAATGCAATATGTTCTTATTACTTAGTAATAAAATATTCTGTTGTTATGGTAATGCAGTAATATTACTTGACACCACTCAAAGCAAATATGCCTCATATGTATATATGTATAGCTGGGCACTTGTATTCAGGTGTATTTGTGTTTATTCAACACCCACAAAACCCACCTGTGGTTTATAGCTCACCTATGCTGAGTAGACCTTAGTTACTGTTTCTGGGAAAGAGCATGTTATCTATCATGATCAACAATTTGAACAAGGACAGCACACTCAAGCTTAACTTGTGCTTTTGTGCTTGTTCCATCTACTCAATATCATTCACAAGGCTTGGGTATGGTTTTCAGGTACTTTCCAAAGGTGCTGCATGCTGGGATTGACCCCTCCAGTTTGATAACATCAGGAAGTCTCTTTCCTGACAAATCAACCATGATTAGATTTGAACCCAGGTCTCATGGTCAGAATGCGAATGTTCTAACCACTCAGCCACATACCCTTATGCCTCATATATTACTGTAACAATGGAATATGTTATTAGAAAATTTTGTTTACCAAATGTTGGCCCATTTTCCACTTACATTTGTGAAGGATGGCTTCATATTCAAGAGAATTGACACCTTCTACTAATTCAGAGTTTGAGAGTAAGTCAAGATTGTGAATGAACCCAGGGCCTACAACTGGATGGAATTGTGATGTAATGATCACATGCCAGCTATCCTGACAGAAATTTTGGTGGGAACAGTTACTAGACGACTTGATTGGTTTTTCACTCCTACACTTTTGATGTACAAATCAATTGTCAGATCGAGATCTGACAATTGATTTGTACATCAAAAGCACTTTGGATGTCCACCAGAGTTTCTTCTTTCTAACTGGGCAATATATTCCTTTTTAATTTCTATTGGGATAACTTTTCTTCTCCAATTAGTATGCACCATGCTTGGTGAGTCATGTGACAATGCAACAGCTAATCAATGGAGGGCCATCTTTACGAAGTAGATGTATCTACTCGCATGTCAGAAATGTATGTTTTATAAAATGATGTGCTGGACTTATGTGTAAAGTCAGCTTTTTATAACATTCAATAGCCTTTTGTGGGTCAGAGAAGGCATTTAATACATTTCTATACTTTATTATACTTTCAATAAAATAAAAAATTAATTTACATGCTTCTGACTTCTCTTTAATCATTATTTTTTGATTATAAAAGGTTGGTTAAATGCTTTTAGTAACTAGATACTAAGGCCACCTAATATATAGTTAGTTGGTCATGCTACATTTCTTTTGTGTTAGCTTTCTTTTGATATAGATATTTTAATGATTCAAAAATATCTTTCTTTATGATAGTCACTATACAAGAGGAAGTTAAAATAAGGAAAGCAAATTTGAATTGCTTATTCATTATTGTTTATAGTAAAATAATATACAACAATAGTTAGGTACCTCCATGAGATCAATTTAAAAAAAAAAAGAGCATAGCATGATGAAAAAGACGCCAAACTTGATGAAAACAAAATTTTATCGTCTAAATGTTTATTATTAAGAGGAAAGATCAAAGTTTATTTTAATTATTTAAAAAAAAATTTTACTTTTTTGTTTTTTTTATCTGAATTTTCATTTAAAAATCCTTGTTTCTCTCTGTATCACTGGAACTAGTAAAATAACATATACAATTTTTAGCACATATTTTTTTTTGTATGACACATTAATTTGGAAAATGTTGCAAAAATAAAAATAATTGTCAGATGTTAATGAAACTTTCAAAAACTATTCACAGATGATCAAAATTATTATAAATATGTTTTCTTTTGTCATGGCAGAAATATTTTTTATATTTATTATCCCAACCCCAACTAATTTTATGAAAACTCTAGAAATTCAATCGAATCCACTTTAGTAATTATAATAGTTAAAAGCACAAGGCTTTGAGGAATGCAAATCATGTTTTTTTTTTTTTTGCTTTTAATTGGACCCCACCTACCTGAAAATCAGCTCTGAATTGTAACATACGAAACTCAAAACAAATATATTATTTAATTTCAAATGCTTTTATTTGCTTTTAGTTATTTTTATGAATATGAACAATATTTTCTGAAAGCAAAAAAAATTTTTTGATGAAAAATGAATTTTTAATACAATTATTTGTTATTTTTTTTATTATAATAGATTTTTACATTTAAGTTGTTAAAATATTATAAAATTAGTTAAAAGCTGCATCTGCTTTTGTAAGTGTCCCTATAAGATAGATATTTTTTAGTGTGTTGTAAATTATATTGTTTTGACTAATCAGAAGACCCACAGTAATTAAGAAATGTAATTTTGTGTTTATAATCAGGCTGTAATTATAAAGTACAGAAGACCAACCAGAATACAATTAAGTCACGTTATTTGAGTTAAGCATTGTTCTCCACTGTTAAAGCCTTTACTTTTGCAAAACACATGTGGAGAAGTTTATTTGATTTTTCAATTTCAACTGAGAAGAGTACCTAAAAGTATCATCTTATGAAATTAATATGATCTTATTTTTATATTAATCTCAGTTATGGCATTTTTTTCATAAGTGAAATATCAAAATTAATAAAATGAATGGAAATACAAATAACACAGTAAAATGTTGTAAATGTACATAAAATTATCGTATTTTATGTACACTATATATATTTATATTAGTTCATACAAAAAAAGGACATTAATTTTTTTTTTTTTTTTTTTTTTTTTTTTAAAGTAATGAATGATTCTTGAAATAAGCAAAACATTTTAAAACACAAGTGAGCAATAAATTCATCATCCTCAGTCCTTTGATTGCTTCTGTCATTGCGGGGGGTTGGGGGAAGAGACAACCTTCTTCAGGATGATCTGTTCGTGGTAGCTCTTAAGAGTTCCAGTATTGTCATGTCTGTCTATTCTTTGATGTTGTCTGACCAGCTTTTGCATTGCTGTCCCCACTTGCATCTGCCTTCAACAGTGTCTTGTATGATAGTATTGCAAAAGCTGTTATGCCATGTGACACAACTAAACTATGACATCTTCTGACACTTGATAATGGCAAGAAGAGATTCCTGTCAACCCATGTGATTTTTGACCTTATTCCATACATAGTCATTGGTTTTGTGCTCTCAATTTGGAGATGCAGAAGAGCTTTCTCAAGCATTTGATCTCAAATGCCTGGACCATTTTTTCCTTCTTCAACCAGGAGTGTCCAAGTCTCATACCTGTAGAGGAGGATGGATATGACCAGCAATTTGTAGAGCATGAATGCGGTATGGAAGATGATGTCTCTCTTCCATATTCTTTCCAGTCTGGTGGTGATCCATGTGTGGATTTCTGCATTGCAGGTAATATTTCTCAAGATATTTGCTCCCCAAATATTTGAAGCTGGACACTTCTTTTCATAATTCACTACCCATGGTGATGCTGGCACTGGTGTTTTTGTACTATTCAACATTATTTTGGATTTCTCTGTGTTGAATTTCATTCCATATGCAGCAGTTCTTCCAACAAGTTTGTTGGTCAGGTCTTGCATTTCACTGTTACTGTCTGCCATAAGGTCAATATCATCTGTGAAATGCAAGTTGCAAACAGTTCTACCATAGATAAATCTATATAAACCAAATTAATACTGAATTTTAAATTAATCTCTCATAGAAAAATGGGAGCATGAATAATTTATTTTGGTAAAACTTACAACAAATAGAACTTTGGGTTATAATATATATATAGTGTATACAAAAAATCAATTTTGATTGCTGTACCATATATTATGACATGTTAAGAATTTCACTTCAAATAACTTACCTGCAATGTACTATAAGAGGTGCTAATTTTTCCTCATTTTGTAGCCTGACATCCAGAATGAATTTTACCAGAGATATTGGTTCTGGGAATCCATGGGCAGGCCATGATGTATACCAGAAGTGTTTCAATTTTCTTACCAAATTGTTCTGGGAAAAAAAAATGGAAAAATAAGAATTGAGAATTCTTATAATTTTTGGAAAGAGTAGAATAAAAAGTCATCTCCATTTTTTTTTTTTTTTTTTTTTTGCTTCCACAACTTTAGAAAAATTCTGAAGAAAAGAAATGAAAACCCTATTTTTGAACAGATCCCAAATTTTATAACATAATTCTAAAGATGCATATAATTTCTTTCTCTCCAGATTTATCAAACTGATAGTCATTCAGCAATAAAAAAAATAAAAAAATTGAAAGTGAAAATACATTCTTTATTTTACACAACATATTAATATTACCATCTCAATACTTTTTGCAATGAAAGTTAATTTTATTGGAAATTAAAGAGATTTAAATAATAAAAATCATGTTTGGAAAATAGGTGACAGTTTTAGAAAAATATAAAACTGGATTATTTATTTTAAACTATATAAAGGGGTACTGTAAAGTTATCAGACCAACCCAGAAATGATTTTAAATAAAAATGTTTGGTCATTTGGCCAGATTTTTTAAAGTGGTCCAGGTTGACTATTTTTCAGCACCCTCTTGTATAGAGACAAGATTTGAAATCAAATATATTTATATTTAACATGTTACCAGCCACATAAACCACTGGAGGTATATTTTTGATTCTCCAAATAATTTAGTATAATTCAACTGTAACTATTCTTTTTACTAGTGTTGAAAGATAAAGTTGTAATGTCAATGATGACTATCACAAATCAAAAAGAAGTTCTCTATTTGTCAAATAGATAAGATTTTGAGATGAATAGTCAATATACTTTGATTTATTCAAACTATTGTTCTCATCTTTGATTGTTAGAGATATTACAGACACAATCTTTCAGCCAAGCATTCACTGGCCATCTTCAGGTAACCATTATTTTGTATTGTTATAACCTTGGGAAGGTTGCTGAATAGATTAATCACACGAAGGTTGGTAATGAACGATAATACTTAGGACACGAACAACACATATAAGATTTGCCTATAAAAAAATTATTTTTTTTCCTTTGATGCTGTTTAAATGAGTAAATAGGTTCCACTGTTACAAGGATTGAACTCCTGGCTATTAGTGGCAGCAACCCTTAACTGATTAACCAATGCCTGTACCCATTATGCCATTTTATTGAAGAACATCACTGTAATTTTTTGTAACCTTTTAAATCTACTGTCAGATCTGTCTATATTTCTGAAATGAGGTTTTTATATACACTATATTATTCGGACTATTGTCCTCATCTTTGTTGCCATATTTATCATGTTTCGGCCAATGTACATCCCTGCCTTCTTCAGGTGGTTGGAATGTTGAACTGAACCCTTTATTTTGCTTGCTAGGGTAGACTGTTCTAGTTCCACGTGCCATGTCTAATGGATGTCAATTATCAGTTAATTCACTTCTCCAAGTTCTCCACTGCCTTAACCAGGTATTGAATTCACAATTCTTTGGGTCCTGTCATTGGATCTAACCAATGCCTTTAACCACTGTGCCATGTGTCCTTAAGGAACATACAACAGTCGAAATGTTGTGATAAATATAACAAAAAAGATGAGGACAATAGTTCAAATAATGTAAATAGTCTACTGTCAGATGTTTTTGATATTTGCTTATTTTGATATATCTGTACTGCTTTTTTTGCATCAAAATATTGTCTATAATATCATCTATAATAATCAAAATATTGTGAGTATCATTTTTATCCTATTATTCCTGGAATAAAAAAAGCATGTATCAATTTTTAGCTTTAAATATCCAGTAAGTTCACTATGTTCTGAACAGTTTTCTGAAAATCTTTACTATTTCAACTTATTTTTCTAATTATTATTATTATTAACATACACTATTATTATCACTGAACAGAGCTAGAAAAAAAAAAAGTGTTAAGTAACTCCACTATTGTTTTGGTAGTAACATGGCTAGTATGACTACCCCTGATGGAGTGGGGGGGAATCCTGATTGGGGTCATGGGCATTGCATTGTGACCCTCGTTATCTTATCAACATTTGCTTTTTCCTACTTACATTTATACACATTACAAATTAAACTAAGCACAACTAACTATTAAAGGATGAAAACATTTTCAAATTTTTGTTATTCCGAGTTCCTTTTTTGTTTTTTTTGTCTAAATCCATAAATTTGTTTTGCTCATGCTAAGTCTTGAAAAACATTATATAAATATTTTTCACTATTATTTTATCCCAAATGTTGAATGTGTTAAAATTATTCAACTTTTTAACTAGAAAAATCTCAAGTTGATATTAAAAATTGACACAAAACATTGACATAAAAGTCCGTCATTTCAATGAATTGTCATAAAGAGAAAATATTCATTTGACAGATTAAATCATTTAGATACATTAAATTTATTTTAAATTCTTCTAGTTGTAGATAATTCATTATTGTACATAATTACATTACAATAAAATTTGTATTTTATATGAATACTATGTCATGAAAAGGGAGATGTAGTAGAGTACCTCACCTCACTGTATCATAGATTTGTGAGTGAGTGGACATGAGACCCTTGCACTGACCCTGGGTAGTGATAACCATTTATTCATCAGCTCTCTCTCAATGTGCTATATATTTTCAGGGCATAGGCAATCATAGCTCTCTATAACTTCTAATCTTGTTAACCCTATGGCGTTGTCTTTCTCCAAGAATTGTTGTCAACAAAGGCTAGAGAACACAGTCTGTTCTGTTATTAACCATAGCTGGCAGCCAGTAGAGATGAATTCATACCTTTTTGAATAGTATTTAAACAAAATCAAATACAACAACCTTGGCTAGAATTGACATACCAATCCTATTTCCCATGTAAATAACTGCTATGCTATATGCATATCCTCTTTCTTCATATATATATATATATATATATATGATCTCCCATGGTGCCTATAGGTAGTTGGTTTTATGGGGTGGATTTTCTAGCTCCTGATGCAATTGGTTTTAGAATTCAGTTGTTTTTCTCCTAGAATAGTTGCCAAACAAGGATAGAGAATCCAGTCTACCCTGCTATTTAAACCATAGCTGGGAGTAGAAGAGATGGATTCATATCTTTTCAGAGTGTATTTGTGCAAAAGTGAATGCAACAGCCACAGCTAGAAATTGAACTCAACACACCAAACTTACTTTCTGTGCCAATAAATGCTATTCTACACTCCCATCTGTCAATACAATCTAGACTCTTACAAATTCTCCCTCCACACTCAAATATATGCAGATGTTACTTGATAATTCTGGTTGAAACAATCAAGTTGTCACAAAAAGAATTAATTTTCAGTTGAGTTTTGTATTTTTAGAATGTGTCAACAAATTTTCCTGCAATATTTAACTTTATTTTATAAAAATTCTAACAATTTTGTGCAGAAATCAGATGGGCTTTTTCGGTTCCTTATTCTCCAGATGTCTTTTATTTGTTGAGGTTACACATAAAAAAAAATACTGCATTTTTTTCTTAGAGTAAAAAATGTAGGACTGTCTTTTCTTTCCATCATATTTACACATTCTCTTCTATATCTAGTTGCCCATTTTACTGCTACATCGACAGTTTTGAACTGGAATAACTGGTAAAGAGAAGTCAGAGGACATAAATATTAAATCTCACCTGCCAAACAAACAAAAAAAAAAACCAAAGGCAAATACTGAGGTATTCAGACATTATTTCTGTTTTAATTTAAAGTTAAATTAAGTCTGACTCAGATGGAAAATATCCCAACTGAATAAAAAAAAAAAAGCAAAAGTTTAAAAAAAGAATCTATACAATGGGAAGAAATCAAAATAATTAACAAAAAAAAACAAAAAACAACATACTGAACATTTCATCAGGCCACTTATGATTCTATACTTTATTTGGTCTATGTTGTTTTTTCTAAGTAAAATCTACTCCACAGCCTTCTTCAGGTGTGCAATCCTTTATAGTTGCATAGGACTATGGCATTAAAATGAACAGTGGCAGATAATCACAAGGAAACACTTAGGTTATTTTTAATGAAACAAAATAAGGAATTTATTTACAAACTTGGAGTTGTCATGGGTTTATTTCAGGAAAATAAATCACAGATTTTTAAAGTCTGTTGTTGCAATGAATTGTCATGAAGAGAAAATATACATTCAACAGATTAAATCATCTGACACAAAATAATATTCAAAAATATTTTAAAAAAAGCTAAGAAAGTCTGTTGTTCACAGAAGGGATCATACGGTTGCATATGTTCAAAAGTAGATGAAGAGAGTTTGAAATATTTAGCTTTCTTGGAAATTTTTTAATAAATTTCTTTGAATTGCTAAGTGCTTCATTAAGAAAAAAAATTAGCAAGTAATTTGATACTGGCTAAAATCTAAATGCTGTACATGTGAACAGAAATGAAACTTTTTGCATGACTTTAGACACACTTCTCTTGATTTGTTTTCCTTATTTTATATCAAAAAGGATTTAGCATAGGTTCACTATTTTCTTTTCTTTTATTTTTACTAGACTCAACAGCTAATTCCTGTTGAAACAAGGTTTTCATTGGTCCAAAGAAAATTTCACATAGGCTCATGAATTTGTTTTCATCTTTTACTCAACTCATAGCCAATCTCTGTGAAGTCAGTTTTCATTGGTTAAAAAAAAAAATTCACAGGCTCAGGAATTTCTTTTCAACTTTTTTCCTCAACTTACCTGAATTTGAAGGGAGTGGGTAAAGGAAGTTATTATTTTGTACTCAGCACACCTTCACCATCTCAAGGCACCTTCAGATTTCAGTATTACACTTAGTCTTCTGTTAAAACACTTCCCAGATATTTAAATTATTGTACTTTTTTGATTTTGGTATCTCTAATTTGCAATTTACATTCTGGGCTATTCCTTTTTTGCTAAAAAAAAAAAAAAACATGCATTCTGTCTTCTTGCAATCTATTAGCACAATTATAAACAAGGAACAGAAATCCTATGAAAGAAAACTACTAAAAATTAATAATGAAAATACTTCATCTTAGAATTTCCAACAC